CGAAATTGTTCTTCAGTATTTCTGGGTAATGTTTACCCAAGATATGAAGTTGTTATTCCATAGTTATTTGTGTATGTGATTGAATAATATGGTTTTAGTTTTGTTGTGGGTAAGAGCTGAAATTGCTGGGCTGTGTTGCAGGTTTCAGCTGTGAGTACCTTATAAGAGTGACAGCCAATCCAAGTATTAGGTTTAGAGAGCCAGGCTGACTGGATGCCCCTCCCCCTCGATCAGTAGTTCGTATTACGGAGAGCTTTGTTGTCTTGGTCCTATCTGTGTAGCTAATGTATTGCATATTACATGTCATTCAGGTTGCAAGTGCCAAAGTTCTAAGAATTGGATTATAAGTTTCTAAACCTAAAATTAACCTAGCATATAAATCCAAAAACAGTGCATTTTGTTGATTATACATATCACCTATTGTATGACATTTTTCAGACTTCATGTGACAAAAGTGTGTTAAAATGTGTCTGTGGTCTTATGGCAGCCATTTGTGTTTTTTTATTAGTTAGAAGAAATGTGAATCTTAATTGGATGATCTTTTCTTTTCCCCACACAATAGGATTGAAGCTGGAAACCTAAAACTTCTAAGTCTCTTAAAAAACCTCTGCCACATTGTCTACATCCAGTGTTCAGAATTGTTTCCATTTCCCGTGAGCGTGCTTTATGAAATGATACTTGGACATTCCAATTTTTTAACTGTGCTGTTAGAAGAACAGACTGACGTGTTAAACCGTAAAGGTAAACACTCAATACCTCTATGTCTTATCTCATTGTCAAAAGATTTAATTTGAGTTTGTTAAAATAGCATGGAATCATAGTGAAGTGATTGGGTTTTACTTATATGTCACGTAAGACGCTCTTTGGGTCACTATTTTCTCATGAAATTATAATTTTACCAAGCTCAAGTGAAACCCATTGTTTAAAATACTTGAGTGGTAATTTGATAAGTTTTACTAAGTTTTCTTACAAAATAATTTAACTTAAACTTTTCTTCTATATATGCAACAAAGAAATGGATATAAACCGTTTTGAAAATCCTTTTCCTTTATCTCTTGATTTGATATTTAGAGACTGTTGTGGACATTCTTATCACCTTGGCAACTGTTGATGGCTCACTGTGTATGAATCATCACATACCGATGCTGCTTGGAGGCTATCACGCTTCTTTACGAATATTGGGTAACCATTAAATTTTCGTTATTTTATCCCTTTTAAAGTTTCATGTCTTAAAAGTTTAATAGGAATGGTCCTATTGATGACATCTTTAATAATGTGAATAGTGTTTCAACCACTGCTATGTCTGTTGTATCCCAGCTGACCTGATGAGCCCCCGTGTATTGGATGAAAGACCTCGTCGGCACTGGATATAGTGTGTTTGATATATTACACACTTTTCTTGACTTTAACTCAGTTCTTAGAATAATTAATAAAGCAGGATCTGTTTCTTTCTATTATTTGAAAACATTAAATTGTTTGTGAAATATTTACAAGTTTTTTATTACAAACTATCAACCAACATTCTTGTTTTATTGTATTGTTGTGAAATATTTACAAGTTTTTTATCTCCATCAGATCAGAAAATACTTTACCTCCTGGTGTTGTTTGAGAGACATGGAGCCCAAGTTTTTAATTTCAAGTAAGTTTTTACTAAATTTCAAAAAATGTTTGAATTTTTTTATTTGTCTTGTATAAATTATGTTTTATCCTTGAGTTTTTGATTTTAGCAATGAAGTAAGACAGTAAAGTGAATTTTTTTATGTCTTGTATAAATTCTGTTTTGTCCTCGAGTTTTTGATTTTAGCAATGAAGTAAGACAGTAAAGTGAATTTTTTAATGTCTTGTATAAATTCTGTTTTATCCTCGAGTTTTTGATTTTAACAATAAAGCAAGACAGTAAAGTGAATTTTTTTATTTGTCTTGTATAAATTATGTTTTGTCCTTGAGTTTTTGATTTTAACAATGAAGTAAGACAGTAAAGTGGATTTTTTATGTCTTGTATAAATTCTGTTTTATCCTTGAGTTTTTGATTTTAACAATGAAGTAAGACAGTAAAGTGAATTTTTTATGTCTTGTATGAAATAAATTCTGTTTTGTCCTCGAGTTTTTGATTTTAGCAATGAAGTAAGACAGTAAAATGAATCTTTTTAATGCAGAATTTATTTTCTTGTATTTTACTTTTAGACCTTTTCTGTGGGGTCAGGCAGCTATTGGTCATTACTCATTGAAGAAAAATATTGGATTGTCCTTATTGAAGCAGCCTAGAATGGAAGAAGTTCTAAATCTTTTGGATGATGAAAAGATGATTTTGACAGCACTGAAATTTCCACTCACTCTAGAACTACAGGTATTAAGAGATTATTTCAACACCAGAGGGCATCCAGTGTGAATTTAATACCTAACTGCTTTATGTGTCTGCATTATACAAGGATTGGTATTTTTTCAAGGAACATTTATTTGGGTTTTGTTTTGTAGGAAGACATTTATAATTTATTGAAGCTTACTTAAACTCCCAGCTTGTTTTGGGAAGATGCTCTTTGTTAGGCTTAGCTTCCATTTAAAATGATGGTTGAATACAAAAGGGGGGAATTAAGTATATAGTTTAAAAGATGACAGCAGTAATGTAACAATGAAATGGAGAAAAAGTTTTAAGTAATTTTTTGTAACAGGTGTTTTGATCAAGTTATGAATGTTAATTGTTTTATTTTTTGTAAGCAGTAGGTCAAAGACGTAGTAATTTTAAAATTTGTATTATTTGATGAAAATCTATAATTTTTCATGTGTTGTTTGATGGTTTTAATGAGCAGTTATATTCTTAAATTTAAAATTTTATGCGAATCTTACATCTGCACCTAAAGTTAGTATGTTTATTAATATAATAACAATAAAACAATATTTTCTGTAGCCTAAACTTCCTGAAGAAAAAATGAATCGAGATGATAAAGTCGATGAAAATCTATACGATCCTCGTTTTCTTCTTCCTTTCCTTTCCCATCTGTTGACTCCAGGTGAGTCAAAGGTATTAAAGAAAAATGGATTAAAAAAAACATTTAAAAACAATATATTTTTATTTCTTTAGTAAAAAAATTTGACGTAAAACTACTTTATTTGTATTTCAAGCTTTTATAGACTTATTTTTTACTAAATTTGCATTTTCTCCCAGTTGATTCATTCTGGGGGGACAAAGTATATATAAAATTAGGCCTCAGTTTGTATAAAAATGAATTACTCTTTCCTTATTTCTTGTGCTGAAGCTTTTAAAATAAAGTAGCATTTTAGTTATTACAAGAATGAAAGTAATAAATGTCAACCACACTATATCTGCTGTATCCACTGTTGATGAGACTTTTTACACAATATTAGGGCTCATCAGGCCAGCTGGGACAGACATAGTGGTTGAGTGCTATTTATAGATTAATAATTAATTGTTAATTAATAGATTAATAATTAATTGTTAATTAATAGATTAATAATTAATTGTTAATTAATAGATTAATAATTAATTGTTAATTAATAGATTAATAATTAATTGTTAATTAATAAATAATTAACAACAGTATGTCTTTTGCTTCCATAACAGTTTAGTTGAAGAACAAATTGAACCGTTTAATGCAATACAAATTATACTTTATATATATTAAATACAAAATCAGCTAATTTTACAGTAGACAAGTTTTTTATCTTACCAATAGTATTGAGTCATCATCAAGTAAGAGTTACTTCAAAAAGGCAGTTCAGTACTCAATACTGTGGGTTAAAATGTTGTAATCATTGAAGTCAAAACGTGCCTACTATAAAAGTTGTTTTATAATTATTCCTCACTAAACAATAAATTAATTTAACTTTTCTTAATTTTCAAACTAAACTTGATTGTTTGGACTTAAAACTTATTTCAGGCTAAAGAATAATTTTCTAAATTTTATGACATTTTATAAAATATTTTGTTGCTGCTTCTTGATTAGACACTTTTGTTTTTAATATTCTAAGTTATTTTTTTATAAAATAGATAAAATTCTTTGGTCTATCAAGATTTTTTATAGAATGTTGAACAGATTCATATATTTGTTTTTAATTATTTAATAATAAAAAAGTAATTTTAAGTTAATGGTAAATTTCAAAAAAACTATTTGAAGCTAATTTTTTTCAATAATCTTGTTGTTTTTTTTCCTAGGATCTCTAGTTCATTTTAAAAAGTTTATTGAAACGAAGTGTCTTGCTCTAGCTTTTGCCGCCCTTTCTAGCTATGATAATGGCATGAGAGCTGCTGGATATACTATATTATCATCATTTTACCAACATTTAGAAGGATCTTTCTACAATGAGAGGAGAATTTGGCTCATGTTGTTGGATAGTGTAAGAAACTCGTTAGAAAAAAACAACATAAGGCTTCCATGCATCATCACAGTGTTTCTGGTGAAAGTTACGCAACTTATGATTAAACCAGGTAATATCGAAAAGCTTTAACACTTATGTAATTGTGTAATGTTTAGTTTCTTTCAAAGTTTGTAGTACATACTGGAGGGATTTACACATTTTGATAATAAAGTTAAAAAAAAACGACCTTACACTGCAGATAATAATAAGGTAACTTATATTTTAACCAACTTTGCCTTTGCGACTTCCTCGGGGCTAGAACTAGGTTTTACGTACTAGCCCTGAAGAAAATGTAAAATCGAAATGTTGGTTAAAATAAAAATTATCTTATTATTACCCGGAGCGTAAAGGTCATCTTTTTCTAAGTTTATTATCAAAATGTTTAGTTTATATTATTTTAATTCCTTTAAATTTTATAACGTTTATGTTCTTGGATAGTGTAATGTTTCATATAAAACAATGTTGAAATATCTGTTATGTTAAATAAACTTCTAAACAACTAATATATACACACCAAAGATCAAGATTAAGTGGATTAGCAATCGGACAAACATTTTGACTTTGGCATCCATTTCAATTTTACTGCCTTAATGCTGAGAGTGAGGAGGTCTATAACAAGATACGTGAAACCGACACAAAACAAAAGTTACATTTACTGCCCTGTGTAGCACAGGTACTTTAGCATCAGATGAATGGTTCGTGTACAATGGCTCAAAGTAGTTAAAGTTGTCAGTCTGAGCCCCATTTATAGCATTACTTTTTATGCCCATCATTGGTGGCTACCTTTTATGTAACCTTTACGGCATTTGTTTTTGTACATTAATTAATTTCAATTATTATTTTTTCAGCTGACCCGTTGTTTAGGCCAGTGTATCAATTTCTGATGCTGAAGCCTGCACTGGATTTGGGGAATGTTCCAGAATTCTATAAGCTTTTTTATAGTAATGATTTGCAGGTAATATACCAAATTTTACCTTGAACAGATATGCGGTTCCTTCGGAACTAACCCTTAAAAACAATTATAAACCTTGTTACCGAGTTAAACCGACCGAAAACAAGCTAGAAATCAGTTGAAAATTGCAGGAAATATACTCAGACTAATTTTTAGGTTTTCCAGATTCTCTGAAAATCTGTGAAATATAAATCAAGCGGAGAGTAATATTAATAATGTTTAGCATGGTTTTGTTTGTCATAGGCATGATAACATAAAATAAACATCAAACCGAAAGATATACTCGAGAAATCTTATAAACCTTGTTTAGACTTGTAGAGATTTTTCCCAAAGATATTAAATATAATCTTTCTTTAATAGAAAATGTCGAGTGAGCTTCAAAATATCCTAAGATATTATTTCTCATTTTGGTACTTTGAATTGCTAATAAGTGAACTTTAATTGACTTTTAAGCTAAAAGTCTAAAGGTTAAATGGGTTCTTTCTTTTTTTGGAAAAAGTTTTTGATATAAAAAAATGTTAACAAATGTTTTTTTTTTTCATAAGTAACAATTAAGCTTTGTTTTAAAAGTATATAATAACTAAGAAGAAGACATTCACCAAAAACTTAATTCACCCTGGGATCGAGTGTTTTAATTGTGATTAAGGAGAAAACACCCGCCAAAATTATCACAACGACCCTTTCCTTTAATGTAATCTCGAAGTTAATTGTTCTGTTGTACACCAATGAAAGATCATGAACAGTTACAAAATGACCTAGTACTAGGTTTTATTAAATTATGGAAGTATGGAAGATATTTAAAGATTACAGTTATTCTAAGGTATAAACATTTAATAAAATTATATATTTATGTTGCAACAAATAAAAATTAGATGAGCTTTAGTGATGGATTATTCTGATATTTGATACATTATTTGAAACTTTTCAAGTAGAGGTTATAGTTCATATACTTGCAGCTTTTTTGGGGGGGATTTGACCTTGAATTTACTTATTACATTTTTTTTTTTAAAGTTTCGGCTCCATCAATCGTGGGTCTTAACCTTACTGTCTGAAGGCACAAGAACCAGTCTAGACTTCCACATTTGTCAGAAAAGATACATCTTCAACATCCTTCTAACGTATTATAATTCGGTTCTATGCAGTCAACAACACAAGGTATGTTGCTTTTTAATAACATTTTATTCTAATATTGTTTATTGATTATTTTTTCCAGCAAGATGACTTTTTGTAAAAGTTTTTTTTTTTTGAATAATTGAAAAACTTTTGTTCGCGGGAGATGGATCGTTATGATACTCAATTTTTCTATTAAGTAATACTTGTTTGGACAAGTAAAATTCAGACATCTTCAGTACATGAGGTAGGATTTCGAAATGATTGGCGTTTTATTTTGTAGCAAAGAATAGAGCAAACGTACTTTATGTTGTCAGCACGATTGTATAACTGTGCAGATTTTGTGTCAGATATAAATGCTAAAGTGTTCAGTTTGTCCTTTTTCATACATGTGTGAAGATGAGATTGCTGTTTTGTTTAGAACTGTAATTTTCCGTAACTAGGTGCTGATTCTCAAAATCTTAATAACAGCTGTAGAAACACCATCTTCGGCCCAGATACTTTGTAAACAGCATGGACTGTTGGCTTGGTTACATGGTGCCATCATCAAATGGTATGTACATTATATAAATAAAACGATGCTGTTTACAAAGTGGACTGTTGGCTTGGTTACATGGTGCCATCGTCAAATGATATGTACATTATATAAATAAAACGACTTTGTAAACAGCATGAACTGTTTAGCCATCGTACCGTCGTTAACTAATGCGTAAAATGTATCACTAGATAATCGTACAGTTATGAAACATTGATGTTGTACATACACTTGTGTAAGTCAGTGTAAACTTTATTAACACACATAGTCATGTTAAGATGATGAAGAAAATTATTAAGCATACATTATAAAATGCATCAGTAGCTCAGCTGTAAATTTCTCGGCTTATTATACAAAAAAAAATCTGGTTTCGACACATACGGTGGGTATGGCACAAATAGCCTGTTCTGTAGCTTTGTGTTTAATAAACAAACATATGCTAAAATAATTTGTCATAAGGGGCTATAAGGTGAAGTGTTTGCTCATTAAAATACATGGCATATTAGTAATTTTTTAACGATGTACTTGCATATAGGTAGAAAGTTTATTAAATAAATTTTGGATTGCAATTGATTTTACAAATAGATATTCACAATAAGCAGCCGTTTTTGTAACTCGTTTGTAAATTAAATTACTGTTATTCTTTCCAGCGAGAATTCAAGTCACGATCTTATATGCCAGCTAGTTCTCGTGTTACACAAATTGTGGATATCAAGTGTCTCCTATTCAGAATCAACCCATAAACAAGATAACACCACTGAAGCGTTGGAAAACTCTTCTTCAAAGTTAAATGATAACCAGACAAATGCGTTACATCATCATCATCATTTCTACCAGTTGTTTCCCACAGAGTTTCTGTTTACACATCTTTCAATTTTACCAAAACTAAGGTACTTTTCTCCTTCAACTAATATTGAAAAATTATGTAGAATTTTATGAAAAATACCTAACAAATGATATATATATATTAAATGTTGATAGTTTTTTGTGAATAACGTTTTGGCTACCCTACATGAGACCCAATGATAAACTGTTGAAAAGCTAAAAATTATTACTATTAACTTCTAAGGTGTTCTTCACATTCTTTCCTCCAGAGTTCACTAATTAACTTCTAGGATTTGATGACGAGGAACCCACTTTGAGACTAATAATGGCTGGGGACGGATTGAATGGGTAATGAAGAAAAACTTTAATATAACAGCAAATGTACAACGTTTATGAAGTATTATGAAAAATTAAGTATTCTTCTCTATCTCTGTTAATACAATACAAGCTGTGAAACTCACTTCAAAATCACCACTACAACTGTTGGTTACCACAGTTGTATCCAAAGCTTTATATAATTGTCTCCTTTTCGTCAAAGTCCACACAGACTGGTTCAATTACTTTAGGACACTCTTTGGCAAGACAAATTATTTTCCTCTATCTTTGATTACAATACAAGCTGTGATACTTTCACTTTACAAATCACCCATTATGGCTAAAGTGACGATCACACAGTCTAACTTTCTTTCTTACTTAACTTTATTCATCTGCACGTAGTTATAATACGTGACAGAAAAATCTAGAGATATCTAGCCCTCTAGTGACAATATTACAAAAGCCTAGTACAACAACTAAACTGCTCACACAATGTACGACTCAGAGTTACTTGTCATCAATGTTGCTTTTAAAATAATTAACTTTTAACACTCTTGTTATGAAAACTAAATAATTATTAAATATACTAAATAATAACTTAAAGTTAACAGTCTTGTATATTCAACATTTTATAAAAACTTATCTGTTTACAACTATTCTTGTATTAATGATTGTTAACAATATGTGAACCACCTTTCTTCAGCTGAAAATACATGACATTATACCTTCTTTTTTTACTGTAATGTGTGTGTAATGAATGTTTTTGTGATTTTATAGACTACTCATTTTTTTTTCAAGTTTTCTGATAATTTTACTTTATTAAATATTTTCTTAACATTATTAAATAAGGAGAACTTTTAGATTACTCCCCCTAAGATTTCTTTTTATGGGAATAGCTTTTAATGAAAATGTTTTGTTTCTATTTATTAGAGAAATTGAAGACATAACAACAATCCATAATTATTTTGAGACTCTTGCTACTGTCTTGTGTTACGTTGCTGAAAACGCTTTAGAACCAACAGGAAATATTCTTTTCATAACTTCTGTACATAATTTGCTAAGTTTATGGTGCTTAAAGCTGAAGAAATACTTGCAAGAAGAGAAAACGGTTTGCCCTTCTTCTCTTGACGAACAAAAATCTTTCAGAGATGGTGAAATAACTCTTGTGTTTAAGTGTAGAAGATTACTGTCCAAGATTCTTCTTTACTGGAAACCCACCTTGGAATCTTCCGATGTTAACTTTAACGAGACACTTCCTAACGATCTTTCTTCCCGAACTGTTACAGACACTTTTATCAGAGTGTTGAGGTTCCAACTGGAAGATGACGAAAGTAACAGTGATGTAAATAAATGTACCTTCTTCGTAGAAGTCACGAGCTGGATTAACAGTTGTTTAATGCGGGAAGGAAATCAGTGCCTTAGTTTAGCTCTTCTTTCAGACTCGGACTCTGAGAGTTATTATTGTATTGAATTGTTATTCAGGAAGTTAGTATGCATGATAAGGTTATGTTACCTTCAGCCCTGTGATAGCTGTACGAGAGAAGTTAACAGTTTAACTACGTTTATTAAACAGTTGATGAACAACTTAGCACTGATAATGAATGGACTTAGTGATCTTTCATCAGAATCTGGCACATTTGTTACACTAGCAAACAGTCGTTCTTACAGGAAGAGGCTGAGAAAGAAAATACAGAAACTTTGTGACCCGGAATCAATTACTGGTAAGCCTAAAGTATTTATAATTATTCTTTATGGAAGAGTTTTTATTATTTCAGAACTTCTAACAAAATAATTTGCATATTATCATAACTGGTACAATTTTTAGATTTGATAAATTGTTCTATACACTCAAAAGCACTGTAAATACTGTTGTTTATCTAACGTAACTGGACATTTAATTTTACCTTGTCAAGGATGGCACCTTGCCCGTGAAATTATCAATTACTTAAAGAAGAAAAGAAACTGAAAGTTGACTGGACCCAAACTCGTGTTATCATAATCAAGGGTCCGAATATTGACCAGTCTTGGCTTTTCACCTCTTTGGGAAAGCTTTTACTCGTGTTATCATAATCAAGGGTCCGAATATTGACCAGTCTTGGCTTTTCACCTCTTTGGGAAAGCTTTTACTCGTGTTATC